GGCGCTGGGCTTCCTGAAGGAGCTCCTGTGCAGCAAGGAGGGCTCCCTCCCAGGCCGGGCCCCCGTAGAGGGCCTCCCAGGCGAAGCGTCTGAGGTGCCCCTGGAGGCGCTGCGCCGCGACAAGGGCGCAGGTGCGTCCAGGCCGCCGGGGGTCTCGTGAAGGGCTTGCTTCCCAGAGCTGGGGGCACGGCTGGCCCGCGAGATGGGCACGACCTTGCGCATGCTCTCGTTCTCCGAGGCCGTCAGCACCCGCACCGGCTTGATCGCCCCGGCACCCCGCGGGGCAGCCCCAGCCTTGGAGGCTCCTGAGGACGGGGACGCCGACGCCCCTTTGAGCGAGCTCCTCTTCGGTGCCATCACATCCTTCCCTCTGGCGGGCCTGTCTCTGGCAAGGCCCCCCTTGCAGCTGGGCTCGCTCTTCCCAGAGAGGGAGCAGGGAGCCGGGGCCACCCCGGGCGGGCTGCAAGCGGGGTTAGAGGAGACCTGGCTGCCGCCCGCCTCCCCGGCCCCAGAGGACACAGAACCCTCCCCGTCGGCCCCCTCCCCCGGGTCCCCCACTTCCGGCCTGGAGTCAGTGCCCTCGGAGCAGTCCAGGGTCAGTGAGCAGTCGGTGGTGTCCGAGATGTAGAGCAGAGGCGCAGGATCTTTGTTCTCAGGATCGCTGCTGCCCACAGACACCGGAGCTGCACTGCTGGGCTCAACAGAGGCAGCCCCGCCAACCTCCAGGGCTGGACTGGGACCCTTCTGTGCACTTCTGTCCACGGGCATCAGGCTGCCATTGCCGTCACCCAGAGACTGCGGGCTTCCAAACCTTAGAGGTGCCAGCTCCATTGGGCTCAAGTCATTCACCGTCAGCCGAGGCGTCTCCTCCGGGCCCTTGGGAGCCTGGAGGTCGAACTGGGCCAGCCCCGTCACCAGCTCATGCTCCTTAATCCCTAGAGCCAATGGCGAGAGTGGAGGGGACCGCTTCGGACCCAGGCCCACCGGCTCACTGTTCCTCTTTCGGAGGACGCTGTGTCGAACTCGTGGTAAGGCGAAGGCAGCTGCCTCAGGCCGGGAGGGCAGGATCTGATTCTGCCAAGCCAAAGGTGGGTCGCGGGCTACCTCCTCACCCTCCGAGGCCAGAGGTCTGTGTGCTTGGCTGGAGTCCTGGTCCCTCAGTTCTCCAGGCTCCATCCAGGCTGCTGGGGACGGGGCCTGCCAGGAGCAGCTCCCGAGCAAGCTGTTGAACTTGAGCTCCTCGGGGCTGCCAGTGGAGTTTTCCAAGAAAGTCAGCAGCTCCCTGTCAGCAGAGATGCCCAGGGAGAGGCGGGAGCGGCGTGTGTTGGGGGGTCGGTAGGAGGGGCTGATGGGCCTGGGGTGCAGGAAAGGGGGCAGGTCCTCGGCGCCCCTCTTGGTCAGCAGCTCCACATCATTCTCGCTGCTGCTCCGGCCAAACCCAAGATCCCCAGCTGCCCAGCTACGCCGCTTCTGCTCCAGCTCCTTCCGACGCTGCAGCTGCCTCAGCTCCTGCACCTGGCGTTCCTGGTTGTCCTGAAGGAGGGGTGGAGAGAGGCCGGAAAAGGCATTAGACACATGGGACCCAAGTGCAGGTCCAGAGCCAGCTTCCCTAAGACCCCACTGAGATACATGCCTGGAGGAGAGACCTGGGTCGCGATCTTCACTGAGACCATATGTGTTTATCCATGCGGGTGGTGGAGCTCTGCAGGGTGTAATTCTCCCAAAAACTAGGTGGGGATGACCGGTGGTGCTCCCTAGGCCTGGCCCCAACTGTCTGTCTAAGGTTGTCATCAGATCCCTGAGCCCACCTTCCAGCTGTCCAGTAAGGCATTGTGCCCTCAGTGTGGGCTGTGATTCCACACATGCTTGGAACCTCAACTCCGAGGAAACCCAACTTGGTTTTTAAGCAGGGCAAGACAGAAAGGACTTCCAGTAAAGTGCTACTGAGGCAGCAGCAGAGGGAAAAATACTATGGGTGTTAAAAGAGGGAGCCTGAATCTGTGTTGCATGGATACATCTACACACACACACACACACACACACACACACACACACACACTCATATGCGGCACATTCTACTTAGCAATGATTTGGATGCATCAGCAAAGACTTGGGATATTAAGAGAGATGCCTTTCAAATTTGTGTTCTTTGAATGCTCCCTGGTAAACACCAGAAATGCCACGGTGGCTCTGTCCCTTGTGCCCCATCCACTTTCCACAACTGGAGAAGAGGATTTGCTTTACAAATCCTCCTAACTTTCACTCAGCTCCAAGAACCCAGCCTCCCCCAACAAAATCCAGCTAGAACAAATGCACACACCAAAGCACATTTTGCTGCCTGCACTTTAAATATACATATGACACATAAATGTGCGGATTGCACAACCCAAATCTGTTATCATTAGCACTTTTTGCTTGAAAATCAATTTCCTCAAACAGTGGACTTTCCCTTCCAAGTTTCTGTGAGGCTCTGGATCTGGCAGAGAACTCTGGGCCCCGCCTGCAGCTCTGGCCTCAGCCTCCCCAAGGACCCTGGGTCGTCTCCTTTCATGGCTGCCTGCGGAGGGCGTGGGGCCAGCTCCTGGCTCTCAGGACAGCTGGGCTGAGAGCATCACACAGGTGGCCTCACGGGCCTATAGAACTCTGCCTGGGAGTGAAAGCCTCAGAAAGAGCCAATTTGGCCTCTACCGCCCACTGCGCCTCCCCCTGCTGACCTCACTGCTTGGACAAGGGAGATGAAACGTGGCCACGGGCTAGGCCCCCTTCTCTTCACTGGACAGAGAAAGGAGGCTTGAGAATTCAACTGACTGTGGGCTCCTCACTCAGGGCTGGAGAGGCATTTGACCAGCCTCTCCAGGAAACTCAGCTATGGACAAATGAGCACTTAAGATACAGGGAAAGGGATGACACACAGGTATTTGGTTCCCTGTGAGCTCCTGAAATGAAGGGATGCTGTTCTGTTTTTAATTGACAGATGAAAGTTTTGTTTGCAAAGCCAAGCCACCCAGAGAGTTTTCCGGCTTCTGCGTGAACTCAGGAATAATTGGAATCGGAGGCTGAGGGGCAGGAAATGTAGCTGCTGTGTTCAGACGGCAGCAGCTCCCTCACTATTTGGGCATTTCGAGCCTGCTTGAGCTGAGGACAGCAAGGGGCCCAGGCTGCCAACCCTTGGCAGTGGCCACGGTGCTCAAAACAGGTGAGAGTGGGCCTTCCCATCACCCCACTGCAAAAAAGGCCTCCCTAAAGGAGGAAACTGTCTGCTGGGAGCAGGGAAGGATCCTCAAAGAGATGTCTTAATGTCGTGACTGCCATCATAAATGAACTCGACAAACAGAATGCTTTCAGGACATCAGAGCGAGTGGCAAAGTAGCAGAGGCAGCCAAGTGCTAGACCCCTGACCGGACGGGACGCTCGGGGCTGAGCTGGCAGAGCACCTTCCCGCCATCCTGACCTCCAGCCACCCGCGCCGCCGGGGCCAGACTCCCTGACCCCGCGCAGCTGCTGAACCACCTTTCCACCGCGGGCAGGGGGCTGGGTCAGGAAGAAGAAAAAGAAAAATCCCCAAAACACAGAAGACGCAGAGCTGCCATCAGCCGTACCTTAACTGCTTTGTTGAACTTGACACAGAAGTCTCTGAAAATCTGAAGGCACTCATCCAGTTTCATGGTCTCCTTGTCTTCACAGAAAAAGTCGATGAGGGTGTGGGCCTCGTCCTGGAGCTCCTGCTTCCAGCGCTGCAGCTCTGTCAGCTTTTCCAGGGCGAACTGCGGGAGAGGACACAGACGGCAGGTGTGAACGGTCGGCCGCCTGCTGCCCAGGGGTCAATCTCAGGTCTCGGAAAAGGGAAGGCTCCCTGCACATCCGATCCCTCAGGGCTAAAAGGAGAATAATTCACCCCAAACAAAACCTCAAGGAAGTGACGTGAACTCCTGGGTGAGGCCTGGGAGCCACAGGAGACCTGGAGAAGGCCACCAACCTAACGTTCCCCTGTAATGTCACCGGAAGTGAGACATACGCGTGCAGTTGGTCTCAGTAAGGAAACCTTGTCTGCCCCGTTCTTCCTTCTCTCACAACCGAGTCTTACACTGGCCAAGAGCCTACTTCAGGGTCCCGGAAGCCACCTGGATTGATGAGTTGTCTGATTCCGAGGTCTGCCTCGTTGAGAGGGAGTCTAAACTTAACCGCAAACAAGCTCTGTCCGGGTCGGCGTCCCCTCCCCCTCACAGGCCTGAAGCCCTCATGCTGGGCAAACGCCCAGCCAGGGCTTCTTGTCCGAGTCAGCGCCGTCTCCAGCCCATGCCTGCCCCCGACCCAGGCCATTCAGTAATCTGGGGTGGACCCGCCACTTTTCTATTAAAACTCCCCGGGAGATTCTGGTGGGTGCCCACGGTTTGGAACTCCTGCCTTATACAAATCCATCCTCTCAACATCCTGGTTTTCTCCTAATTCTTCTATGACACAGCTTCCCAGGCCACTGCAGACTCAATGACGGGGGCAACACAGTGGGGCGGGAAGAGGCCTGCTCTTTCCCCTTTGGGGGTGGGGTCCCCAGGGCCAGGGGCACAGGCACGCGCCCCTGACGGCAGCTCAGTGACAGGAGTGTCGAGCTGAAGTGAGGAAGCCACAGGCTGGAGTAGTCTCAGCCCTGTAGAGACAGTCTTTGGGGTCACGCTGAAGTCTCGGGGTGTTTTCTTAACACTGGGTAATGGGCTTATATGAAGAAAGAATGTATGGAGTATGTGCCCCTACGAAATCACGTAATGATGATTTTTAAAAGGCTTATATTTGAGAAACTTCTCTTCGGGTGGGGGACGGGCCTGGGCCACAGTGAAGCTGCAGGTGGCCCACCCTGGCCAAGAGGAGCAGCTGTGGGAACCCACCACAGAGCTACAGAGAAATTCCGAGAAACCGCGTCCCCTCCCACCCACTCCACACACTATCCCCCTTAAAAGCCCCTTTCTTACACCAAACACATTTGAGAGGTAGCAGGAAACCAAAACTATTTGGGAAATCAAATACCAAAGACCATCTGAGTCAGAGGCCCAAGGCAGCGTTTGCGTTCACGCTGTGTTTTTCTTTACGGAGAGAAGGGCATTAACTACAGGATAAATCTCTGCCTGTCATTCCTGCTCAGGGGGAAAGGTGGATCCCTGCCAAGAACAGCTCAACTGCAGAAAAACAGGACTTTGACAAGAATCTTCATGGGAGCTCGCTCCACCTCTGTGTCTCATCGCTGGACGCCGTGGGGACAGAGACGGTGCCCACACGTGCGCTCTGCAGTCCCCTGAGGACTTGAGAAAGGGAAACATTCTGAATAGGGTCCGAAAAAAATCACCGCACTTGGAGTTATTTGCCCGGAGTTAGTTTCTGAACCCTGCCTTCATGATTAGGGCCACAGACGAAAAAAGCCCAAAGCTACAGTGGCAAAGTCTGAATCACAGATTGCTAGTCGTGGCAGCAAATTCAACTTTCCCTCTCACACCTGTCTGCCCCAGACTGAAGTTCCGAACCAATTCACTTGGTTCTTCTCCCCAAAGGGTCAAAATACCGAAACAGGGCTGTAAAACGTGTTCCTGTCATTGTTCCGCTGGGAAACCTGCAGCGGTTCCCCACGGCTTGGAGCACGAAGGCTTCTCCCTGGGATTCACAGCCCTTCAGGGCCTGACCCTACGGGGAGGGGGGGTGGGGTGGAGGGGGTGGGTAGAGCTCAGTGGTAGAGTGTGTGCTTAGCATGCATGACGTCAGTTCCTAGTACCTCCTAGCACCCTAGGTTCAATTCCGAGTACCTCCACTAAAAATATATACATATATATATACATAAAAAGAAATCTAACTTACCTTAAAAAATTGTATCTTCCCTATTTAAAAAGAAAGCCAATTCTAAAGAGAAAAATAAATAGCTGTGTGGAGCATTTTACTTTCATGACAAAAATGACTACCAGCAAGACGAGCCGAGAGTGAAAACAAGGTTGTCTGTGAAGAGCGGTCTAGGGGTGTGGCTAAGACGGAGCTGCTTTGCATCATGAGCCTTTCTGGACGACTGTTTAGCATAAGGTACTAACGTTTCATATAAGAACTGGGAAATGAGACACTCAGAATCTGCCTCTCACCATAAGATGAGACTGATTTTCTGGATTTGCTCCATTTGTCTCAAGGTGCTTACTTACTGCTGAGTGTTTTCCTAGATCCTGTTAGGTGTTTCTGTAATGGCATTTGATTTGTGTCCCTTGGAGGAAAAAAAAAGAAAAATCTGTGCACTTTTAAGGGAAAGTGAGAGGTTGGCAACATTTGAAAGAAAATACAGAACACGTGTTTAACAAGAATAATAAACTCCCAGCAGAGCCAAACAAAATCAAAGTTCGCCGAGGGGACCTGAAGCTCACGGTATTTGATGAGGCTTCATTACAAGGCAGCGAGGACAGGCTTAGGTTTTGGACCGGCCTTCGGAGCACAGTTCCTTCCTGCCACCTCGGGCGCCTGGCCTCATGAGTTCCAGGTCACCAGTCTCAAAGCACTGGTGAGTAAGGGCACACCATTTCACTGAAGACTGAGAGCATGAAAAGGTGCCACTTTTTTTTTTTAAACGAGGAAGATAAAAGATATATGTCAGGCTCTGTGACTAGTGAGTCATAATGAGCTGTCACAAACACGTCCACGCTGCTGGGTTTGTTGATGTTATTGGGAACAGCTCCCGACACACCCTGCGGGGCTGATGCACTTTGGGCGGTGACAGGCCCCAGCTCTCGCGTGTCCTCCTGCTCTCGCTCTAAAACATGCCACAACGTAGCCTGTGTCTTCAGCAAAATGGGGGAAGGAACAACCACCCAAGTACTCAGGTGTCTTTCAGGATTTTGATGGAACTTCGTTCTGGTGTCCAAAAGTTTGACTGGGAGCCAGGAACTCCTAAACTGGGCTTGAGAACCAAAACCCGAGTGGCCAGGCGTAAGCTGCCAAGTGTATGCACCATCCGTGATACCAGCTCGCTACCGGCGCCATCAGGCAGACGGAGCAGTGATAGAGACCCAGGTCCTAACCAAAGCCTCGGGAATAGACCACATTCAACATCCTGCCAAAAACTGATCCAGCAAAGAATGGGCACTGAAATATCAAGCTCCTTTTACTGACCGAGGGGGAAACTACGCCTGGGAGCTTGCTGCTCCCACGAACACACCCCTGCGAGCAGAACCAGCCTCGGCCAGGCTGCTGGAGATTAGAGGGAGGCCCTGACACACACACACACCTGGAGGAACTCTTCCATCTGCTGACAAAGCTCCCCGTCCGGCTGGATGTTGTCCTTGAGAGATCGCGTCCTGACAAAGAGCGAGTGCAGCTCCGCCTCGGTGTTATCCAGAGACAATCTGCAAGAGGAAAGGGGAGAGTGGGCAGCTGGCACAGGGGGGCCACGTGTCCTGCAAGTACATCAAAGGAGACCAGAGAAACAGGAGAGAGCTCCTGCAGTGGCGTTTACCCACTTCTGTGTTTAGAGCCTCTTCCTATGTTTTTTCAAGAGGCGATTCCTTCCTTAAGACCCATGCTGGTCCATAGAGGGCAGGCTGTAATTTTGGTCTTGCTGGTGAGATAACTAAAAGCAGGGGACCTGTAAAGCTTGTCATAAACTAGGTCTGAACACCTGTGTGCCATCAGCACTGAAGTCTGGCAGCACTCGGACGCTGATGCTCTCCTCGGGCCGCTAAACGCAAACGCAAACGCAAAAGCTCTAACTCATGAAAGCAAGGCAGCGCGTGCTGATAACCGTGACATCAATACGGAGATGCGGCTCAGACAACCAGAGTCAGTGCGCTGTGTCTTAGAGAGAACTGACACACAGCTCCCGATTCTGCAGAGAAACGGTAGGACTGACGGCCAGGCTTTTGTTACATACGTCAAGCCAAGATTAACAGGGCATGAATGATTTTCTGTCGCCTGGTAAAGTGAAGAGGTGAAACCTAAGTCCAGGTGGCATTCAATTAGCAAATTCATAAATCAAGATGCTTTCAAGCTTCCATTGTTGATTCTAACTTTTCTTTATGCAGTAAAGTCTTCCACCTTCACTGGTCACTGGCATCCGTCTATGATCTCTTTATATTTCTTTTCCTTTCAAACAAATAAACTTCACTAAAGAAGTTTTTTGCTAAGACAAAATCTAGCTAAAGTGACCTGTCTAACTCTGATCAGAAATGGGAAGTGTTATTTCTGTGTCCATAGCTTAGAAACATTTCCATCCTAGAAAGAGGAAAATACATTCCCACACGTTTCTTCTAGTAATTCAAAACCAACTCGGTTTACATCTTATAAGAGGCTCATTCTTTGGGGGGCGAACGGGTAATCTGTAAATATGAACTATGAACTGTTCATACCTTTGCACTGATAACCTCACTTTGGGAAAGACATGTTTTCTGTAGTTAGATGTTTACAGTCAGTAACACTGAGACACTGGCTGATGACGGGGCTTGGCTCGAAAAGCTACAGTCCATGTGTTTATGCATATGGTTCACAGCTGGCCCTACTGGATAGAGTCCCTCAGATAACGAGTGGATGACACGAGCTGGGCTGATACGTGACGTGGGGGCTGGAGCCAGCTCACGGGAGGTGGCTGTGGGTGTGGGTATCTCTCCCCAGCTCCGCATCAGTAATGCCACGTCACGTGGGAGCTTGAGATCAGCCATGGCAACGGTATTTACGCCACGGAAATCAACAGCTGCTGTGAATCAGGACTTCTTGCTTTGAAAAGCTGGTTACTGAACATTTACCACTGATGCCTGGATATTAAGAACACAGAACTCAAAACAGCACATATACACAGATTATAGCTACATCAAAATACACATTTACATTAGGATAAGCAAATTAAAGTGATGTAAATAGAGCTTTATGTTTGGGAGATGCTTTCTCTGCAAAGTTGAGTGACTAACTTAAACCAAAATCCTCCCGCAGCCCTTGGTATGGTTCCAACTTCTTTTAATGCTATAGAAAATAAACGAACCACGTTCTCTTTGAAAGGCATCAGTGATGTATGGCCCTGAAGTCTGACTGATAGACACCAACTCCCAAGGTAACAGGCTGTGTTCTTTGAGCTCTATATTTGGGTGTGGCGGTATTTGAAGTTCTTAATCCATATGTATTTTTTTTCAGGGATGATATTTATTAGAATAGATTGCAATAGGGTTTTTTAGATTAAAAATGAAGATTAATTTTTCAAAACTCCCAAACTCCAAAGGTGCATACACACCTCTGTAAGCAACTGAAAGGAAGGTCTGAGAGTTCAACGAGACAACACTTTTTAAAGTTCAAACTTGAGTCCAGAAGTTGTAAAATATTCATCAGTTTTCAGAAGAAGGCAGTTTAAAAAACAAACAAACAAACAAACAAAACCCTTGATTTCACAATTCTCTTGCTTACCTAGCAGCCTCCTGAACATGATGCAATTTTTTAGAAAAGTTTAGAAGAACGGCATCTTTCTTTTGGGCTTCCTGGAACAAAAACAGAATTTTCTCTCACTATGTGGGGATAGAACTGGAATTTCATCCACTATTACGGATAAAATTTCCTCAGGGCTTAAAGGAACTATGAAATCACTGTTCCCATGCTTATGCTTGATACATTCAAAGCAATTCCTGGAGACATGGACTTTTATTCTCATTTTCTTAGTAAGATTTACCAGATTTACCAGAACTCTTGTACTCTGAAGAAACACTGAGCGACTGATCCTGACGTGAAATACTATTCGTGTGCAAGAAAACTCAGTGGAAGGAGGTGGGGCTCAGCAGGGCCCTGGGTTCCTAAGAGAAGCCGATATATCCTGCTTAGACACCACCCATACCTCCGAGTACTCTCGCCCATGACCGAGATACCTTCAGCTGTTAAACCAGTTTGCAAAGTGAGTTTAATCAGAAGGTACACAGGCCACGGAGGTGCTGGAATTCTTCGCTGGTTCAGAGGGTGCGAGGAAGGCAGGTATGAAGGGAGCAATTACGAACCTGGGAAACCTCCCCACACGGGCAGAGACCAAGTTACACAGAGCACCGTGATGCAGGGACCTAAAAGGGCAGCCGGGAGGTGGTGCAGGCCATGCGCAGTGAGCAACACATTTTCTGGTTTTAACATCCTGAAAACTAACTCTTAAACTTGCACGGAGTTCAATGTGCCCTCTGTCTTCTGAAGAATCCAGTGATAACAGTGTGGATTATTTACGGAGCGCTTACTGGATTCTGAACACTGAGCTAATGAGCACTTTATGGATTTATCTCCCTCCGCCCTCTTAATTACCTAGTTTTGAGGTCTCACTAGCCCTCATCATTAGATGGAGAAATTGAGGATCTTAAGGATTAAGTAACGTGTCTGAGGAAGTACAGCCTGTAAAGGACAAGTCAAAATCTCCCTGTTCTGATCCATTCTGAAGCTCACACCTGAAACACGCAGGCAACACGACTTTCTTCCCAGGTTAAGTTCTGGCTACGTGATCGCTGTCAAAACAGCCAGGAGATTCAGGGAAGGGAAAAACAAATCAGCATGACTCTCTATGTGAGACAATTTAACAACAGAGAGAGAACTGTCCTTGGCTGATCTTTCACTTTGTCACTAGTTATTTTGGTGTCACACAGACCCAGTCAAAGGTGGAAGTGATGAACCCAAACCCATGCGAACGGCAGGGCACCCCAACCCACAGTTCACAGAGGCAAGAGTGGAAGTGAGCCTCTCCTGGCCCTGACTCCGTCACCCTTTACATATAACTGGTCAGAAATCTACCCAATTCAACACCAGGGATGTGTCAACCTTTGGGCTCTACTCTCCATCCCGGTGGCCATTACTCTGAAAAAAATACTTAACCTCACCCAACAATTCTCACCAACTTCCACCAGGAGGTAGCCTGTTGTTTTCTCCCCACTCTAAGCCGTCCTCTACGTTGCCTCATTTTCCTAGAAGCAAAAACCCACCTGGTCCTGCCACGATGCTGTATAAAAACTTCTGTTGGCTCCCCATTGCTAAAGCGTGAAATCCAAATTCCCCAGCTTTAGGATTTGAATCCTTCATAACCTGGCTTCACCAACCACCCTGCCTCCCACCCCTGAGTGCCCCCTCCATGTCCCTCCAGGCCTGTAACGCCAGGGGCAGCTCAGCTCAGGAATCTGTGAATAGAAACCTTCCCTGACTCTGTCTGATGCCGCCTTCCCCCTGCGAAAGCCCTCACTGCCTCCAGGGGATCTCACGTCTGTTCTCTCTCTGCACGAATCCCTTCCACATACCTGTGCAACAAAGTGCAGGAGATTCATCCCGGGTTTGTTTGCTTTTGTGTCTGCCAATTTGAGCAAAGAAGACAGTTTAAATCCTACCGCATTGCCAGCGTACCCTCCCTGAAGAAGACAAATCGGAAGAAAAAAAATATGCATATACCTTTAGACAGACAAATAAAGTTGGAAATTCAACATTTTTCAACGCTTTGAACTTTACTTACTGCATTCATGATGTTTCCTGCCTGCAGCACCAAGTGTAAGATCGAATGTAGCTCCTCACACGACATCAGCTCTGTCAGAAAGAACACACCACCTCAGAGAAGCCTTCAGCTTAAACACACAAAAGACAGTGACCACATCCAAATTCGAGTGTGTCTGACACTAGCTTTGACTCTAAACTGTGTAAGAGATTGACACAAAGTAGCACATTCTATAGTACACCTAGCGCACCCCTGGCTACTGGCTGAGGCATGCCCTAGCGTTTAACGGGGAATCAAATACGTGTGACACTTAAGAATCACAAAGTACTTTGATAACGAAAATTTTCAAGTAGTGGCAACTACAAAAGCCTATGAAAAGCAGCACACTGTGTTAACAGGAATAATTTCTCAGCAGTTATTTTTTAATCCTTTATATCCTTTGAGGCTTTATTTATGAACTATGAAAATGAATAGTGAGAAACATTTTGCTTAGCCAATGAGCTATGAGGAGATAAAAAATAAACAGGCTGGGGGTGGGGGGAGGGTATAGTTCAAGTTGTAGAGCGCATTCTTAGCAGGCATGAGGTCCTGGGTTCAATCCCCAGTACTTCCTCTAATAAATAAATAAGTAAGCCTAATTACCTCCCCCACCAAAAAAACAAAACAAAACAAAAACAAAAACAAAAACAAAAAACCGGCTGGGATGACATGTAAATAACTTGCAAAACCCCAACCCTTAGAGGCAGGTACCCAGAGAATCTTTCCATTTTATTCAAAACGGCATTTCATTTGGATTGACCTAAAGGTTTAAAAAGGAACTTATTATTGTCATATATTGGTAAACTAGTTCTTTAAACAAAAAATCTTTTGTACACACCCTTATGCAAATAAACAATACTGAAAATTGTTAATATATTTGAAAAGCTAAAAAAATTTTTTTAATTATTAAAATTACAGTATATACAGATAATAAAATGTCCCCTATGGTATTTTTAAGTTAATATTTTCCATTAAGTCTGGTATTACTTAAAAAAAATTATACTTGGATCACTGCTGATAGGTGCTATCTAAGAAGGCCAGGTTTTGAAGGGTAACCAGATAAGAAATGTTTCCACCATGCCCACAAATTTGTATTGCTCAGTATGAAAACATATTCTTCCACCTTTATTTGAACAGGAGAAACAGTCCTTTCAAAGCTGTTGCTTTAGGCTTGGTATAGGAAGAAATTTATAAAGGCCTCTACACTGAAAGAAGAAAATGTTTAATTTTTGGTCTCTTAAAGAAAATATGATGAGCTGAAGAAAAAAATACTTAATCTCAACACAGGTCAGAGCAACTCAACAGGAAAACCAAATAGGAATAGACATTCTACCACAATGACAGAAAATGACAAAGAAGAAATCAGGCCGGTGATTCCAACTGATGCATGCTAAAAATTTGAGGGTCAGGGAGCGCCAGAGACTCTGCCTTGGAGACAGAAGGAGGCGAAGGCACTGGGCGGGCATTCTCAGTGCCACGGACGCCAGAACGCAAGGTCCCAGTGCACGCCATGAGACACTGGGCAGGCTGAGGAGTCCACCCAAGGGGGCAAGCAGAAATTTGGCCCGTTGTTCAAAGAACCGGAAATGGCGGACTCGCCCCTCTCAAATGTTAACTAGCCCACCAGATGTTCAGAGTCTGGAGGGGCAGCGGGTGGGAGAAGACACCACTGGACAGAAACACCAGGAACCCCGGGCTGAAGAGTCACCGAGGTGCCCGGGGAGGAGTCAAGAGGGAATGAGGTCGGCTTCCCCTAAAGCAGGGTCCCAGCCACCAACAGAGGCCAGAGCAGGGGCAGAGACATGCAGCTGGCCCAGGGGCCCAGGGGCCCAGGCTGGAGCATGCACCTCCATGCACACACACCACACACACAAATACAAACACATCACACACCAGACACACACACAGAAAGCTAATCCAGGAGAGGAACAAGAGCGAGCTCCAGCAAGGTTTACTCCTAAGCGTCAGTTGAAAGAAACCTTTTATGGGAAGATAATATGCTAATTAATTGATTGATTGGTCAATTAATTAAACTAATTACTCAGGGGAGGAGGAAGCAAACGGATATAAACCTTAAATGCTATCCCTGGTAATATCTCATTTCCCTTTTTATCAGAAGTAGAAGTTTCCATATCTAATTTTTCAACTGAATAATTTTTTAAAAAATAAATTGCTTGGGGGGAGGGTCTAGCTCAGTGGTAGAGCATGTGCTTAGCACACATGAGGTCCTGGGTTCAATCCCCAGTACCTCCGCTGAAAAACAAACAAATAAATAAAAATAAATAAACCTAACTACTGCCCCCCAAAAATAAAAAAATAAAAATTAATTTTAAAAAAGAAAAAATAAACTGCCCCTAAAATAAAAACAAGTCACATGACGCATCATATATTTACTGACCTTGTATAGCAGTTCTAAGAATAGTTATATCTGTGTATAGAGCAGAACAGGAAGGTAAAAATTCTTTCTTTAGCACCATGGCTTCAATTCGAAGTGAATAGCTGAAAAATAAAAAGTAAAACTGTCGAATCTGATGTCACTGATTTAAAAACCTTATTCCGCAAAGCACAGTAATCAATGATCCTTACTTTGGCACCTGAATTAAGCAGTGCAGAAAGGAGTCTGCCAGGGACAGCTTGGCCACGTCGCCACTAAATGCTTTTAGTTTCTTGATCTAAAAGACAAAAGGAAAAAGGGTCAAGTGAAAAAGGACAAATAATTAAAATGTAACAGAACACTAAACTTCATCTTCGAATTCCTTTAAGAAAGTAAGGATTTCAGTGCTAAGTTCAAATTGATATGAGCGTGGACCTAAGAAAAGACGGAAAAGGGAATCATTACATCCACTACTTTGTTTTTTAAAAGAAAAAAAACTAAACAAGCAAATTAGGGAGAGGAGAGCTGTGTCACTTATGTGGGGATAAAACAATCGCAAACAAGCCAAAGAGCTGGAGCCACTGGACTCCTCGGGGCGGGCACTAACGGCAGGTTGAAAAAGGGTCGGTTCTAAGGATGGGAATTTTTTCTGAGTTATAATCTGGAAGGGAGATCCCTGTTTGGAAAAAGAAGCAACTGGACAGTCACTACAGCAAAGTCTGAGTCATAAATGAACAATCTTATTATTTGGAGTATTTTGGATACGAGACTTAGACAGGGGTGGATGCTGGGCTGTCTAACAGAGACCTTAATTCTCTGAGGTCAAGTCCCGCTTCACATGCAGCAGCTTTACAGGAAGGGGCCACTTGTGCTGAGGTGAGGACACAGTGGCTCTCCAGCAGGAAGATAAAAAGGAAAACCACTTAAATAATTCAAAGATCAATGTCAAGATTTTCCCCTAAGAAAAAAATCAGGGAATAAAACAGCGTGTACAGTAGGCTCCCACACCTACAAATTCAGAAAAGAGGTGTCTGCTATGCCCCGACCCTCCACATACCCTCTGCAAACCCAGGAACAAGGCGGGAGGATATAGCTCAAGTGGGAGAGCGCATGCTTAGCATGCACGAGGTCCTGGGTTCAATCCCTAGTGCCTCCTCTAAAAATAAAGAAGTAAATAAGCCCAATTAGTTCCCTCCCCCACCAAAAAAAAAAAACCCTAAATAAATAAATCACTCTTCAAACACAGGAACAAGATGAGCCAGGTGTCTATACAAGCTGTTGGAGCACAGTCATGATCATTTGCTTCTGCAGCTCCTTTTTATTTCCCAAATTTTCCCCAGTGAATGGGTACTACTTTTGTTAAAAAATGACACTAAACTAAAAGTTCTTAAACTCACAAATATTCTTTCAGCTGTAGTAGAGGGAAAGAAAAGAGTTCTGACATAGGAATCTAGCCAAACAGCTAGCAGGTAGGGATGGAGGCAAAGAGAAAGTTCTCAAACTGCATCAGAGAGCAAGACGTGACTTCCCCATACAGAAGCTGGGACCAACCCGATGGCAAAAGCACATCTCCGTTCACGGTAGTACAGTCTTCCAACAAAAACCCTGTATGGTAAGCAGCATCTTCAGACTACCCGTGTAAAGCTGATAGCCTACCCTCGCACTTACATTTTCTGTTATTTTTAATAAAGCTTTCGCTCTCCCATGCCCTGGATTATGTTAGGTGCCCTTACAAATAACATGATTCTTAAACCTCTTGAAAAATAGGAGGTAACAGTGCAAAAACAAGGAGGACGGGGTATTTGCGAAGATCCACAAACTGAATTATCTGTATCAGTTATCTGAAAATACCCCCATGTGAGCGTGCAGATGCACACCCTGGTATTAAGTCTGGGCCTTACGATGACATTTCCCCCCACGTCAGCAGAAAACAGCCATTTATAGAAATGCATTATTTCCTCTCCCTGTAGGGCCCCGAAGTGAATTTTCTGGTTTCAGCCTTACTACATTTAAGGGCAGATGGAACTTCTGGATTAGCTAAACCCAAATCAGTGCCTAGTTGCTGGACTGAGAAAGCCACAGAATGAAGTCTGATCCTTTCTGAACCAGAGTTGAACGATTCACCATATATGGGCAGGGGGAGAGAGGGGCTGTGCCTTGCAGAAGACCACATATGTAGCACGGGCAGGACTTCTGAGAACTGCGGCACGGTTTCCTGTCTGAAGCGTAACAACAGGTCATGTTAAGTACACTTAGTAGATATTTCTATTAAACATGTGCTGAACTGTAAATGAACAATGATTAATCGCCTTCACTTATATAAAGAGTGAAAAATGTTTGTGGAGTTCAAGAGGACGGTGATACTAAAGATAGTCTGTGACTTCAATGCCGTGTATACGGTTCTTAATTCCATTTCAAAATGAGATTTATGTTCATTAAGAGGGATTACTGTGCCTTCACAGTGAGGGAGGTAAAAAAGAGAGGTGGACAAACCCTGTAATTATTATGCATTCTCATCATCATCAAAAAGCATTTATCAAACGATGTCAGGCATCATTTTCTTGGCTGGGCCAGCCGACTCTCATTACGACCTGGCTGTGCCCGGTTTCTGTCCTAACAGCAAACGGCACGCTTCTTAAGACTCACACATTCCAAAGGGCAGGCCTCCGTCATGCAGTCTAATTCCACTCACATGGCCTTGAAACAGCAGGCATTCCCGCCGACAAACCCAGCCAAGAGGAGACTCTGGGGCTTCCTCCTCTCCCGGGAACAGGGCAGACAAGGAAGGGAAGAGTGAGGTGAGAGACATGCCAGAGGAGGCAACGCAACCTGCTTCCAGAGAACAGAAGTTCCACCTTCCAGCCCTGTGTCCCCAACAGACACTGAGCTGGCGACAGGGGACCAGCGCCAATGGAGGGAAGGGCTCCTTCCCACGACCGCCTGCTCCCTGTCAAGCCCCATCTCCGGCCCTGGTGCTTTGATTTCTGGGTTCACCTTCTCCCTCTGTGAGTTTGAAGCAAGATGAACAAAGACACCACATAAAAGCTTTGTGGTGAAGGGCAGAGAAATCCTGAAAACAACTTCCCGTGGGGTGAGCCTGCCAGCTGAGCCGGCAGGAGAGAAAGGGCCATTTCCAATCATAATTCCAGCGTGCTGATGAGATGACGCTGCAATCCTGAGTGACGCTCTCCTCACCAGTGCGCTGTGCGCGCGGGAGGGGATGCGGGGCGGGGAGGCCACAGGGGCGGGGCTCTGAGAACCCTTGGCCTTCCTTCCTTGAAGGGAGCAGTGGACTGCAGCCCAAGGAACAGCTCTGGAGTCGGACAGACCAGGGTTCAAACCCACCGTCCTCCAGGCCTCTCGAATCACATGACACTAGACGAGCGTTGGCTAACCTGGATGAGCCTCTGCTTCTCATTTATTGACTTTGTGTGGGCCAGGCACTGGGCCAAGCACTTGGTGGCCTCCAGCTCAGTCCAGAGTCTGGAACACGGGGCACTCAAGCAATGTTCAGTCCCTCCTCGTGCTAAAAATGAGCACAGAACGTTACCCTACAGGTGTAGCAATGCGCAGTTACACGGACATTGCTGCATTTAGCAGCGTATTTCTGCCACATTCCTAAAACTCTCTCACTTGGCCCTACCTCCTCCTTGGCCTCATCTCCAGCCTCTACTCTCCACCCAGGACTGCAGGGTCAGCCTTGGGTCCGGGTGGGGCCAGTGGGCGACCTGCACTCACAGCAAAGCCAGTCCGTGCCTGCAGTGGCTGTGGTCATGAGGTGGCTCCCTCTGCCAGCACACACACCCCAGGGTGGTGTAGGGAGGGGCGCCAAGCGGCCCTGGGGACTGTCAGGGTGTTTCTGCTGAGGGAAGCTCCCGGTGGAGTTTGGAGGGTGTGGTGAGCCAGAGCCAGGCGTCAGTGATGTAAACCAGCAGGAGTGTGACCCAGCTGGTCAGACAGTCAGACGAGGATGGCCCTGCAGCAGGAGGCTGATGGGCTGCTCCAGGGGCCAGGAAAGCAGTGCAGGGTCCCAGGGCAGGGTTCCATCTCTGCAGGACACCGTGTCCGGGCTCAGCTAACCGTCTGGGGCAGAAAGAGCCCCAGGGTCCTGGGCAGCGCTGGGATGGGTTTTAGTCATCATTCCCTTAACCGTCTCTTCCCTTTGAATTACATCCTACACACAACTCAGAAAACAGGGGTCTTTAAAACAGGAGCAATGTGACAGGTAACCGGCTTCTCTGAAAGACCTGTGAGCCTTCCACTGCCTTTGCATTCTCTAATTGCCTGTGATTTTTAAGTTAGAAATGAAGACATAAAGGAAACTACATTTAGCCTCCTCCCTCTCATGGCAGGAAGCCGGCAGCCTCCCTCATGCCTGACTTCCACTTATAATCGGAAATTGAGGGCTCTGTTAGGACTGGGTACCAGGAGGAGGCATGGAAGCACCCAAGTACGAATAAGGTTTCTAGAGCAACTCAGTTCATTAAACCCTACCCATCCTAATAAAAGACTCTGAGTACACCTGAAACAAGCACACTATTGTAAATCAACTATACTTCAATTTAAAAAAAAATGTTTGGAACACCCATTCTTCACATAAAAGATTAAAGAGTGTTCTGTATATAGGATCCAGGGTAAATTATGATCTAATGTACCTTTCCCTCAACTCTTTAAGACCCTTTACTGACATTAATACACACCATTAATTAATCTGGGCTTTGGTAACTTACAATTAATTTGCAAACAGAAAACCCGAGGTGGAGAGAGCAGCTCAGGTTATTAGATATACCCGGAATATCCAGTTACCCACTAAGATCCTCAATCTGACATTGTGTGTTTATCAGTGATGGGAAAGAAAAAGCAGAAATATATTTCTCTTGTTGTTATTAATGACACTAAAGGCAAGATCCATAAATTATGTCTGGGAAGAGGAGCAGGGAGGGAAGAACCAGCAGTACATGTAAAAGGGTCACTTACGCATTTTACTTTGTAAGATTCTGCATTAATGAAATGTTTATAAGCCTAGGTACAAGCCTATGAGTTCACGTAACTTCTTATTGAATTTTTCCACAGGTCACTTCTTCATAAATAGACAATATCACAGTTCTGGAAGCTTTTACAGAACTGTTTTTCTATTTTTCATTCTGTCACACTACTAATCATTCAAAAACTCAGTTAAATCAGCCCCCCACCAAAATCCGTAACTTCATTTATTTGTATCGTGGTACTCTATTGTTATCACAGCATTCTCCACCTTTTAGTCAATTATACAGACAACAGTTATTAAAAGTTTACCTACCCCTCCAGTTTTTAGAGCATCTTTATTCCAAAGTGGTTGCTTTTTCTTTTCTTTTCTTAAAGTTTACATGTTATGAAACAAGCCCGGGTACATCCTAGGCAAAGATCATCCTTAGACGACAGAAAAGGGAACTAAAATTTATTGAGCTCCCATGTGCCAAGTACCAGGTTGGATGCATGACATGACTAGGGTTTAATCACCTCGACAATCCAATGAGGTAAGCGTCGTTAGCCTCACTTTACAGGTGAGGAAATTAAAGTTCACAGGACTTAAGAATCTTGCCCAACTTTCTCAAGTAAGGGATGAGCTCCACTTTTAACCTAGCTTCTCAAATTCCATAACCTATACTCTTTCTACTGGGTAACTTTCTGCTGTTATGAGAGAAAACTCTGGCTCTGAGTAGGAGAGTGCCCTTCCCATGTGAGTTCCGACATTCCTAAAACTATTAAACTTTCATCATCACTCCTAACATCTGAAACTCATGCCCCAAATTCCTTACCTCCTCTGACTCTGGCAGAAGCTTCAGAAACTCCCGCAATGTCTCTGATCCATAATGCTCACTCTTTCCTTGATGAATATCTTCTACAATGGACGGAGGAGACCTTGAAAAGACAGTGATCAGATTCCAGGTCACATGTGCTGGAGTGTCAGAAACACAAGCCAGTGGAAATTAAAACAAATCACCTCCACCCTTCTTCCCATCCCACCTCCTCCCCAGTCTGATGGGCGGTCTTGTGTCAGCGATCGTATCAGCCTCACTGCCAGGGAAAGCGGGAACCCTGGTATACCAGAGGTCCTTTCCCCCAGAAAACCATCCTCGGGCCTCCGAGAGAGGTCCAGGTGGCAGCCGCCCCTGGAGGCTTCTTTGGGAGAAGAAAAGCAGCTCTGTGGAACCCCTGGAGCCAGGGCCCGCTCTTTTCCGCTTTAGAACACCTGAATTTAACCACCGTTTGACTCGGCGGTCCAGCCTCCACTCACGGGACAACGCCACAGATGAATTTATAAATTCCCTGACGTGCTGGACTTGAATAGACATCCCAGGGCAATTCTCCCTGGACTCCAAGCCACAAGATTGTGTTTTTATGACAGTAAACAGCAGAAAGTGCCACACACTTGGGGACTCATCAAGCCATGCGTCTAAAAACAGCCTGAAGGTATGAGGAATGGCTTTCACTCATCAGAATCTGCCTTTCAGCTCACACCCACGGACTCTGATGCTGACAGCAAGGACGTGACAAAAGTTTCAAATGTGTGCAAAAATCTTACTTCTTAAACTGCTTAAGAAATATCCCAATGTTCATGTTCCGTTTTGCATCCAAGATGGTAATCTGGAAAAAAATAGAGACACGTAAGATTATTAAAACACAAATAAAAAGAGTTGGAGGGAAGAAGAGAATTAAAATTTATCAAAATACAACACTGATTTTAATGTATAAGAGAATAATTCCCACTATGTAAATCTAGAGATTAACTGATATACCTAATATAGTTTTATGAATATCAAAATATTATCATCTCCCCAACTTTCTGCAATGACATATTTTGTTAACTGTAATACTTACACATATCTAATTTAATATTGTATAATTTACATAAATTATATTAAAATTTTCTAAATTTTGCAATTTCCTCTTAGAATTATACACCCCACAATAAAACACTCCAATTTGGAAATAGATGTCTCAGCATAGCAAGAATCATATGAGATTTGAACTCTGAAGATATTGCAGAATGAATCCCAACCCTGATTTAGGAATGTAAAAGGACCAATACTGTTACTTTTAAAGATGTAATAACATTCTTACCATTTTTCTAAAGGAAAATTTTATTTTCATTGAAAAAGAATATGTATGTCCTACAGCCCTTTTAGGAGGAGGTAAGACAGTGCCCTACACTTTATTCAGAATTTAAAAAGGAAAACTCTTGTGCTGTATTTCCCCAAGTCTAAGATGCATTTTTTTTTTGCATGTGAACATCTCTGCAATCAGGATGTGTCTTGCAATACATGCATCATCTTTGATTTAATGAAATATGGTGGCTATTCTAAGGTACCCGCTAAACCCAGATTTTTGCTGCAATAGATTTGGGCTGTTTAAAATTACAGTAGTTCCCCCGTTTCCACAGTTTCATGTGAGTGAAACAGTTTATTTACCCCAGTCAGCTGAAGTCCAAAAACATGAAATGGAAAATTCCAGAAATAAACACTTCATAACTTTTAAATTGTGTGCCTTTTGAGTGGAGCGATGAAAGCTCACGTTTCGTGATGAGAGTGTATCCTGCATATGATGCCCCTTAGTCACTTATTGGCCATCCTGGTTATTGGGTTATTGTCGTGGTATCACAGTGCTTGTGTTCAAAAGACCCTTATTTTACTAATAATGGCCACAAAGCATGAGAACAGTGATGCCGGCAATTCAGATGTGCCAAAGAGAGGCTGTAAAGCGCTTCCTTTAAGTGAAAAGGTTGGAGTTCTCGACTTAATTAGGAAAGGAAAAAAACTGTATGCTGAGGCTGCCAAGATCTACAGTAAGAACAAATCCTCTATCCATGAAATTGTGAGGAAGGAAAAAGAAATTCATGCTAGTTTTGCAGGTGAACCTCAAACTGCAAAAGTTACAGCCACCGTGCATGATGAGTGCTTTGTTAAGATGGAACAGGCATTCAGTTTGTACAATACGATATTTTGAGAGAGAGACCACATTCACTTAACTTTCATTGCAGTATATTGTTATTGATGAAATAAAAATTCACATTCTAAGGCAAATCAAGGAAAATTTAAACATAAACATTCTCTCCCTTTGGCCTCCTCTCTTCTCTTTCCTAAGCACCATGTATCTGCCTTGTGCATCGACCAAACCTCCCCATCGGCAGAAATACCTGCTCAGCCATTAAGAGCAACATTTTCCTGTCATCAACAAGATAACTTCTTAGGAGATAACCTTCTTCTTAATCTTGTAAGAGGCCACCATGACCGATGACCCACTCTCGCTTGGTACGGGCAGATCTGGATTCTGTAAATTGTCAACATGTCATTTAATGTACGGCCCTCTGTCTCAAAATGTATATAACTGTGCTTTCATCTCAAATGGGCAAAACAGTTCTCAGACCTTTCTGAAAGGCTGTTTCCGGGTGATAGTCCTCATTTTGGCTCGAATAAAATTTTCAATTTCTTTCTTAGATGGACTGATTAATGTCTGGTCATCGACATTATAACTGTTCTATTTTACTATTCCTTATTGTTGTTAATCTCCTACTGTGCCCAAGTGCTAAATTAAGCTTTATCATAGTTACATATCTATAGGAAAAAGCACAGTACAGATCCTCCTCAATTTATGTCCCGATAAACCCATCGTAAATTGAAAATGTGGAAAATGGACTTAAGACACCTACCGTCACAGCTTGGCCCAGCCAACTCAGAATGTTTACATTAGCCTGCTGTTGGGCAGAACCATCTAACAGAAAGCGTACTGTATAACAAAGTGCTGAATGGCTCATGTAATTGACTGAATACTGTACTGAAAGTGGAAAACAGGTTGCCAGTGAATCGGCTGTTTATCCTCATGATCACGTGGCTGCTTGGGAGCTGCCGGGCCACCCCTGTTCAGCATCACGACAGCGGACTGGACTGCCTATGGTTAGTCTGGGAAAGGATCAAAACTCAAAATTCCAAGCACAGTTTCTACTGAATGCCTGCTGCTTTCACACCGTCGTAAAGTTGAAAAATCTCAAGTCGAACCATCACGGGACAGTCTGTAGATGCAGGGTTTGGTACTATCCACGGTTTTAGGCATCCACTGGGGGTCTTGGAACGTACCCCCCCCCCCCCACAGATAAGGGAAAACCACTGTGATAACCTGGAAGGGCTTTATCAGACTAGAAATAAGACAGAAACTTTCTTTGGGGAGGTGGGTGGTGTTACATACAGAGGCCATTTCTTCGAAAGTAAATATCCAAGATACATGGAGGAAAGATAACTTTAAAAGCCTGCAATTTTTCCCATTTGTTTTTTGGAAAAGGGAGACTAGCTAAAATGGGAATGTTGTCATAATGTTCTTTCCTTCCAAAAGTATGTGATTCATTGTGAGCAAAAAAGAATCAGGTTTCAGATGAAATTCCTGATCTCTGGGCCTGCTTCTAAGTTTATAAGCAGCAGCAAAGACTGTTAACCAAAGTTAATGGGACTTCCTGGCTACAAGGTTAAATTTTTACAAGAGTATGGCTGCCTTCTTTTGAAGACTAATCTTAAACAATCACATTATTTACTATCCTAGGGGTTTATTTCATGTTAACACAATCACCTGCCAGCCATAAAATAAACTCCCAAGCTAAAAGAACAGGCTCCTTCTTGGATTACAGTTCAAGTTCGGTGTGGAGGGAGGGGAGAGGAGGGGGGAAAGAAAGGGTGAGAATAAAACCTGTCAAACTCAACATCCTTTAAGAAGAAAGCTCATACCAAAAAGAGGAATCTAAATTTAAGACAGAAAACGATGTGCTTATCATAATCCACAAATTAAAAGCCACAAGTAAGAGCTTGTATATTGACCTGGCTATATACACATCCGAAGAGCTTTCTCTGCCCTCTCTTCTACTTGGAATGGAAAAAAAAAAAACAAAGAAACTTTTTTAATATTGCTTTCACTAAATTACCACCTCCTGCTATAGTTAACCTTTGATGGCAGTACTCTCCTCCCCGCCCCTACACCCCAAGCCCCACCTTTACCCTCTTCACCCCTCGCCCTCTGGGACTCTGTACACACAGCCTAGACCCACCACTATTGTTGCCGAAAAAGTGATGGAGAAGTTACTTATATTGTCCCTATTTGACAGATAAGGACACTGAGCCTCAGAGGTGTCATTTTATACCTTCCCCAAAGCAGTACTAGAACTGAAAGGCTCCTGGGTCTCTCTGGTTCCTGTTCACTCTAGTTCTTGTGACTTCCAACATCGCTGAGGATATAGGAACACAGACAAGTAGGGAGTGGTCCTCCCCCAGCCTAGGATTCACATTGGGGCATTTCTCCAGGAACTGGGGCAGATCTGTAGGGAGCCATCCACAGGGCCTGGCCAAGTCCCCTGGGGACCCCAGAGCTGTATCTCTGAGATGAAGGGCAGAACGCACGTTCCCTCCAGCTCAGACGGCCACCAGGCGTGCAGCTCTGGGCCACCAGGGACAGCCCTCCACGCTCAGCCCCAGGAGGGTGGGGGCACCACACGTGGGGCAGCCGCTGTCTCTGCAGCCTGAAGCAAGGCTTCAGAAACTGCTCACTAATTTAAGAGAATCCAGCAGTACTCCTAAGGAAGAACCTGGGCTGGCCATCGCTGAGCACCTGAAGGGCAGGAGAAATCCCAGCGCCTCCTCCGAACAGCAGGAAAGTTAGACCACTGATAAGGCGGCGGGGACAGTGCCCTTCTCTCTGGCATCCTCCACTCTGCCAGGTGCGCGGGCCGTCTCCTCCTCATAGGTCATCCCGCCTGAACCTTCTAAAGCACTGTTACAAAACAGTCCTTGAAAGAGGGTTATCGCTACGCGTGTAAATTAGCTTATCTTACTTCCCAAAGGCTTGCCGCCGGTTCAGGACCAGCAGTTCAGAAACCCAAGCGTGTGGGACTGGTGATGCTCTGAGTCACTTCCAGCGACGGACTCCGCAGGGACTCGCTGGCTGCACAGGCTGAGACAAACGGCCCCAAGAACAGGGATGAGCAGACCTGGCCCCCGCCCTCCCCATCAGTTCAATCAGTCCACATCTACCTTGCGGGACGGCAGGCCTGCCGAGGCAAGTACACTTGGCATGTACAGAGCTCTTGACCTTTCCCATTAAAGGCCCACAGAGGGGTTATGCCATCCCTGGAGAACAGGGGAGTGAAAACGGAAGGCAGGGAGCTCCCCTCAGCCCCTCCAGAGAGGTCCCACCTGCTACAGTGACGGTCCCCCCCAGGCTGCCAGGGTGGGTTGTTCTGACCCCCTGAAGAAGGGTGTGAATGGCTACCCCACCCCCCACCAAAACCTCCAAATAAGCTCTCCTACTTTCTCCTACAATTCATCTACCATCAATCCACTGCAAAGTCTGTCTGCCATCTTCATTAAGGAAGAAGAAACTTTTCTATTTTAGTTGTAGTAAAATAACATTTTGCATCTTAACCGTTTAAATGCACAGTTCGGGGGGTGTTAAGTACATTCACATTGTTGTGTAACCATCACCACCATCCACCCCCAGAACCCTTCATCTTGCAAAACTGCAACTCTGTCCCCATTGAACACTAACTCCCCATGTCCCCTCTCCACCCCGAGCAGCCACCATTCTACTTTCTGTCCCAATGAATGTGACTACTCTGGGTACCTCATGTAAGTGAAATCCTACAGGATTTGTCCTTTTGTGACTGGTTTATTTCATGTAGCGTAATATCCTCCAAGTTGAAAGAAGAGATTTTTAAACCACTTTTGTTTCAATTTGTCAAAGGAGGCTTCCTTATGTACTTAAGCAACACTAAATAGTAGTTATTTCATTCCTATGTCAAATCTAAAAAGCAAAAATTTAAAAATCATCCTGTATCCTCTAATATAGACTTAGCTTTTAGGTTTTGATGGATTTCCATTCTTTTTTTTTTTTGGTTGGCTATGCATTTGGAAATGTTCATCCCCCTGCTCTGAGGGAAAAAAAATGAAAACCCAGTTGAAGCTTTTTTTTCTTTTCCCCAAACATATTTCAAACACTCTACCTAGTTCTAGAGTTCTGGATTGAGCATGTCTCAGAATTCTGAACATCCTGGAGTCATTACAAAAGTTGAGAAAGAATGACTGATACCTGAATTACAGTGTGGGAGAATAACAGTACTTCCCATAAGTTTAGAAAAACCAGTCTTCCTTCCATTTTTCCTTCCTCTTTCCTTTCCTCTCTTTTTCTCATAAGCAATTTTAATTATTTCTTATGTGGTTAGTTAATCAATGTTAATTGTAATATTACTACAGACAGCATAGTGCATGACCTCAAGTGTTTCAACATTTATGTTTTCTTTTTCATTTTTTAATTTTAGTTTTATGGGGATATAAGTTGACAATTCAAAGTATTAAGATATTTAAGGTGCACAGCATGGTGATCTGATCTATGTATATACACTGTGAAAGGACTCCCCCCACCTAGTCCATCACCTCACTTATTTAACTTTTTTTTTTTTTTTTTTTGGTGAGAACAGTGAAGTTCTACTCTCTTGGCAAATTTCAATTATAGAATACAATGTTGTCAACTACAGTCACCATGTTTCACATTCCATCCTCAGACCTTATTCATCTTACTGTATTTCCACTGTGGACTTCAATTTTTATTTATAAAGTTGATGCCTTGTAAGATAGTCTCTTCATTCTCTCCGTTAAGTTCCATCCTCTCAGTGACCTTTAATTTCCTTGGAGGACACCAAACGGCTAAGACCGTCCTCCCCTAAAGAGCGGCTCAGACTCTATAGGGAGACAAGTGTAGCCCCAGCCAATGAGCTCTGCAGGCTGGGGGGGCAGCGGTAACAGATGGGTGGGGAACTCGTCAGAGCTGAGAGCAGCAAACTCAGAAAAGGAGGTGGAGGTTGAGTTCAATCTCTTTACTATTATCCCCAGCAATATTCTTTGTTATTTCTAATTACTTTATTATAGTTTAGTTACTGCTGTAACATCTGTAGCCTCTTCAAGTTAACTGTTAGCCAGCAAAGATATAAGGACAGTAGTATTTTGTAACCTTTTCTCCCCTTACTAAATGTTCTAATTTACTATTTTAAGTGTTGTTCTTCCTAAATTCAGCCATTTGTAAATTTTGGTCTATGTTAGACTGTCACTCTACTGGGCTGTGACTTCTTGAGAAGAAAACCTAATAAGGGAAGAAAACAGCATGGACTGTATTCTTTCACTGACAAAAAGCATCTATAATACTTTTAGCCCTGTTGGAGATGGCATGAAAAACGGAACCTAATTCTGGATAACTCTCTGCTTATAATACTTACCCTACCTGAGTACTGAAGAGATGAAGAGCTAGATTATTTTATGTTACACAGTCATGATGGTTTAATTTTCCTTTCTAGTTATGCTGTCTCTCAGATTAGGACCCACATGTGTTAAAAGTAAAGATATCTGCACACTCACATTCATAGTAGCTTTATCCACAGGAGCCAAAAGGTGGAAGCAACCCAAGCGTCCATCAACAGATGACTGGATAAACGAATTGTGGTCTATACATTCAAGGGAATATTATTCAGCCTTACAATTCTGGGACATGCTACAACATGGACGAACCTTGAGTATATTATGTGAAGTGAAACAGTCCAGTCACAAAAAGGCAAATACAGTGTGAGGTCCCTAGAGTAGTCAGGTTCATAGAAGTAGAAAGAAGGGGGGCTGCCTGTGCAGAGGGAGGGGAGGACTGAGGAGCACTTGTTTAATGAGAACAGTTTCAAGATCTTGTGGAAGCTCACACCAAAAAACAAAAACAAAAACAGTGACAATGAATATGTGTATGTTCATGCATAACTGAAAAATTGTGCTCTACACTGGAATTTGACACAACATTGTAAAATGACTATAACTCAATAAAAAACATTTAAAAATTTTAAGAAAAGAAAAAGAAAACAATGAGAACAGAGTTTCAGTTTTGCAAGATGCAAAGACTTCTGCGGATGGATGGTGACGGTGGTTGTACAACAATGTGGATGGTCTTGTGCACTGAACTGGATACTTAAAAACGGATAAGAGGGTAAATGTTGTGTTACGTACATTTTACCACAATTTAAAAAATAATTATTCAAGGTGGGGAGGGTATAGCTCAATGGTAGAGTGTGTGCTTAGCATGCAAGAGGTCCTGGGTTCAATACCCAGTGCCTCCATTAAAATAAATGAATAAATAAACCGAATTTCCTCCCCCCCAAATAAAAATAAATACATTAAAATTTTTTTTTAAATATTCAACTTCAGGTCTTTTTTTAAGTTAAAGAGAAAAAAAAAAAAGCAGAGATGTGCCTAGGGCATAGGGGTGGAGGGAGGCGGGGACAAAGGCTCTTCCTTCCTGAATTTTCGATCTGGCCTAGAGATGGACATTTCTGTCGGGAAAAGATGCCACTCTTCCTGCTACTTCCTCTCTGAGTGGCTCTTAACCTCTCTGGAAGTCACGAGCACAAAGCAGCAAGCTCCACATAGCCCCTTTAACTATCACTGGCAAAATAAATGTCCCAGTTGACAAAGGACACTGCCCACTCTAATCTGGCCAGCTGCCCCCGCCCCGCACCCCCCGGAGCCGGGGGAGCCAGACCCCCTTCTGTCTGTTACGGGGCTTTCCTGAGACACGTGCTCTGCTTCCATGTGTCCATCCACTCTTCCCTTCAAAGTGCTTGAAGGCCAGTAAGCAGAGCTGGGCGACAATGGTGAGAAACGGCCTCCTGTACAGCTGGGAGCCTCTGCTGGAAGCTGGGGCAGAGGCCAGGGTACTCAGGAAGTGACTTCTGGCTCCTTCCAATATTGAAAGGATGTGCTAAGAAGCCAAAGGTCTTTGCATAAAGGCAAGCGCAGGGAAAGCCTTGTTCAGCACAGCAGGGCACGAAGGATGTCCTGAAGACTGCCTCTCAAAGCACCACACACCTTACACCTGCTTCTAGTCTGAGGGTTCTCTGCGCTTCATCATAAATAGACTCCTGGCTGTTTCAACAGGGGACCACACCGCCAGGTCCAAGGGCCCCCAGGTGAATTCACAGACAGATGTTAACACGTTCCTGAGCCAAACAGGGAAAAGAGGTCAATACTGTCAGCTCCAGAACTCAATAATGCAGAAGGCTGCTACTTCACTCCAGAGCCCTGCCCGCTCTCTTATCTACACAGCTTCATCTTTGACCTAGTTTCTCTGCTCCTTTACAATAGATTAAAAAAGTGATGCTTTTTTTTTAAGTGGGCAGAATTCTTTTTTTTTAACCCCTGGTTTCCCAATGATCTCTTCTAGCAAGTAGAGGTTTCTTAATTTACTTGCATGTTTCTAAACAGAGAGTACTTAAAAAATGCAATTTTTGACTCAGTTTCTATCATGTATGGTGACCTGTCGCTCTGAGGCCACACTTCATCTAACTGCTTACAATTCGCAAGCTTTATATTTTCTTCAAAGTAACACATTTAGCGTTAATTGGAGATGTGCTTCCTAGAAAGTCTATCTGAAAACAGCTTTATGCTTTGGCCCTCTGGAAACCTCTGCTCCACACAGGCCAAAATTTAATTCAGAGATCTGAAGAATGAAGGCCACACCTCCAAACACTTGTGGAAGGAAAACTGGAGGGAAAAATCAAGAGAAAAGTCTAAGGATGTGCATTATTTAATGATGTTATTTAATAAAGGACATTTTGTCTCTGGAAGCTCTAGTTAATCTCAGATAATGGAGTTCAGAAACCCAATTTTTTGTTTCAGTGGAGACTGATAATGCTGGACTTCAGCAGAACTGCTCCGCCACGGGGAACAGCAGATGTGCTGGAGGCAGGGCGGTGCTGGGAGGCCGGAGAGCGAGGCCCCCAGATAGCATGCTCTCCGCATGAGGTCATAATCCTCCGGGATGTCTGGGAGGATGCAGCCTTACACTTTTTGGCTACTCAGCGCGACCTCATCATAGAAAGCCCTTTCTACCACTTCCAGAGCACATTCACTTGCACTGTCTTCTTTCTTAGTGATTTTAGCAGGTTTGGAAACGTAGACACATCCCCAAACACAAAACCATGCAGCCCCCAGAGGCTTATCCCTCTGCGGTCCATTCTTACCTCTTCTCTCGCCTCCCTGAAGGATGCATTTGAAGTCCCGCCTCTCTTAGAAAGGGGAGACTTGGTGGTATCTTCTTGCTGCCCAAATAACTCCTCAATGGTCTTTGTATCGATTTGGTAGTGATGCTGCTGCCTGGCTGCCAGGGTCCAGATGTTGGTTTTGCCACGAACTTGCTCCTCTGGGATGGTTTTCCAAAAAAAACTTCTCATCCGTTTTTTCTTACCAAGGTGGCTGAAGCCATTCAGGTGAGAAGTGGGGGGTAGTCCTGGGGGGGGAGGGGGGACCGGGAGGGCCCCCCCCAGGCGAGGTGGAGGGGGGAGGGAGGGAGGAGGAGGAGGAGGGAGGAAACCCTTCCCCCAAGAACGGA